TTCTTGTACTCCACAGGATTTTTCATTTCATCACTGCAATCAATCACAGCAACAAATACTATTATATTTTTTGTGATTTGGTGAATAGATCTAGGAATTGCACTGGGGCTAATTTATCTAAAAGTCATGAGAAGTCACTATGACCAGGCTTCTTCTAAACAAATATGTCACAGAGAATCCAAATGTTGTGATTTCATCTCAAAAAAATACCTTGGATCATCATTTGAATACAAAATACACAAGATTAAAGAAATGTTTCACAAACTGCCCAATTTTACTGAAAGTCTCTGGAACCTGAGAAAATCTTATGAAATAAAGAATAAACACTGACTGCGATTCCTTGTATAAAGAAACCACACAAGATTTTTCACAGGTACAATACCATTGTGAAAACGTCTTGGGCAGAAAATATTGTGTTGATGGTTGATATTTATATTGCTTAAAAATATCACAGCTTTTTGTTTAGTTTAATTACCACTGCAAACTTGATAATATCACTGGTATACAGACGGTTGATGAAAATACTGCGCCTGTTCATTGACCACCAAGTTTGGCAGATATAGAGCACTGCGCCTTGTAAACTCTACCAACTCTTTACTATATGACCCTACCATATTATATTCTGCCATCGCTCCACCACTTTAGACGATTACTTGGTTTACATGGCAGCATTTAGCTGTGGAATCATAGCCCTATGTTGCCGACCGAATAATTTCTGTGACTTACTCTGGCCGGCTCTGTTCGACATACAACAACAAAATTAAAAAGAAGACGTCCAAATGAAATTGTTAGGGCGAAATTTGATTGTAGGTCGCACCAAAGACTGAGCTACGGAACTGCAGCTAGACAGCATTTTATCTGAGGCAAACCTTTGCTCCTTCCACCAATTAATTTGCTTTTTTTATGTCGGGCCCAGTCCTATCAGAGCTCAACCTTGAAACTTATCAGAATCGAACAAATTTACACATTGACTCGAGCTGTCCTGTAATAGCCCTGAGTA